TTATAATTTTAATCATTACCAAAGTATTACAGTACCAAAGTATTATAGTATTTATAATATAAAATGGTAATAATGTAGAATTAATGAATTATTAGATCAAAAGAACAATTTGATTTTTCTCTTTGAAGTCCCACGTTGTTAGATTTTAACTTGGGATTGTTAGATTGGAACTACATATTAAATATGTACCCCATTTGACTCCCATCGTACTATTGACGTCAATGATCACGGTCGAACTTGACTGCTAATAACCATCATTCATCAATTCGTGTTTGAAGATTCTATTATTATGATATATGAGGTCAGCCGGCCTGTTGAAATTTCTTGAAAGTAATAACAATATAGCATCTCGTCTGTTATCCCAGGTATAGTCAGAGACATTGTCAACTGTTGACGTATTAGTGAATACAACACTTAACATACTCGCCCCTGTCCCGTTGGACTCAATTATACTCAGCAGCATTCGTTTTCATGGCGAGCGACCGATGTCCCTCGGATGAATATTTAGTTTGTTATAAGTGTCACCTTCATCGGAGAATCAGAAATATAAGTTATCACACAATTTTTTGTAATGTCTCCCAGGTTAGAATCTTTGGGAATAAATTTGGGTACTAAACCCAAATTTAAACGAAAAACTGCAACGAAACTATTCAGTTCAAAGATATATTTGAATTTCTAATGACAATGAAATTTAAGACATTTTTATTTAATAAACATTGACTGAATCATTGTAATAATAATGAAAATACTGAGGGTCATTGAATAACACGCAATATTGTCTCTTATTATATTTCTTTATGTGCGTTGATCATTTAGATGAGCACTATGGATTTTAGAGATTTCGTCATCCAAGAAAATTAAATAGGAGATGAAAGTTAGAATGGAAGTTGTCGATGAGATTTCTTTCCGATGCACTGCTAGTTCATTTATAAAAGATGGGTTTTGAATGTTCTAATACTGACTTTAGAAAGTTTTCTCATAATCGGTGTGATATTGTCGTCGTTGCTTGCCCGCGCGACTGAGATTTAGTTTGTCTCTTTATTAATTATAAAAATAAAAAGCCTTTATTGCTATACTATGTTTTACATATGGTTAATGTTATACAAAAACGGTACAGCCTGACTTCCGACATAGGAGACAGGGACATAGGAGACAGGGACATCTAAAGATTAATATTCTCCTGTCCTTTACTTTACGAGTCCATATTGGACCGGCTATTTTTCTAATATTATCGTTCCATCTTATATTGTCTATCTCTTTATTAATTATATTATTATTATTTTTCATTACTTTGCTCTTACAGTATATTAATTTACTTAGCTACTAAATCTTAAAATTTTCTTTAATACTTAAACTTTTACTTGAAAAATTTAGAATTTGTTAAAACATATCACTTCAGCTCTTTTTTGCATAGATATAGACATCTTTTATACCCATGTTGGAAAATTAGGTAAGTCGATAGAATATATACCATAATCGCTTATGATGTCAAATTCTTATCAACTCTAACGTTGATATCGGTTTGACAGTATCAAGATGATTTACTAGTATCTAAATAATAGTGAGTAAGAGTCAACATCGGTGTATTGCGTGTATGGTTCTCATGAAAAATATTATGTCACACGTTAGTAGTAAGTATACTAAAATATATGTAATTTTTTTATAAATTAGTATATTAAATCCTTCAATATTTTTTTCTTCTAATATAAAATTTGCATCGTAACAATCTAACTTTTACATAATGCTACTACTACTAATTTATTGCCCAATATGAACCGGAGAGGTAACGTCTATGATGGAAGGATCTACTGATGCTTCCAATACCCCTTTCCACTTCTCCCTTTCTGTTCTAATATTTGATATATTTGTACTGTTAGAGACACATAGAATCTATTAATATGTATTGTATTGAATCATAGAAAGAATATGATTTTTAATTAGTCCCTAGTCTTATTAAATCCTATTTAATCCTGAATATAACAAACCGATTGTGATTGATCACCATAGACACAATTAGTTAAAGTAATTTATTTTGGCAGTGGAGAAAGCCTCGATATTGGAGAAAGCAAACATATGAATACCACCTTTTTTATAAGCAAAATAAATAAAATATATATTACAAGATATATAATGATATTAATAATAATAATAATAATGAAACAAGTATAATGTACATTTTAGAAATGGCTTATCAACATTAGAACTAATATCAGGGTCATAAGTGTTTTTCAAAACGGGACTTCACCACTCGTACAGACTAAAAAGGTTTTTTATAGCAACGTTGCAATTAAAATTAAAATTCTCATCCAATTAGCGATATAATTCACACCTGTGTATTGTTACAACGGCACTATCTTTAAATGAGATATAGGAATTTTTTGCTTCACAGTCCGATACACTGAATAGATAGCCTCTACTGACGTAGGAAGAGGTCAATACATTTGGCCGCAGTGTAATTTATTGAATCATCTTAATTATTTACTGTTAAAAAAACAATAACATAATAAACGATAGGCATATACAAGTATCAATTTTAATTAGTCTTAAAATAACTTTCTTGTACGTGATACAATTCTGTGTACCGTGATAAACTTATCAATATCAATCGAAGTAATACTGTCAATGTTTCAATATAATTATATGTCTGCTTGGTCACGTACTTCAAATTAAAAAAAATACCCCAATAGCTATAATAGATACTAAACTTTTACTAAACGTTGGTTATCATCCTGATATAACTAGAAATGATGTACATACATTAGTAGCAAATAAAATTGACTAAAAATTTACCAATTTGAGAAAAACAAGGACAATTGTAAACGGAAAGAGTCATAATCGGTCTCAATCATTTCAAACTGTATCATACGATGCTGGTTATTACATCGGGTTTCAGTCTGAAATAGCTGGGTTACTATGGGGCTATAAATAATGCCGATAGTACTGGAAATATTTGTCTTATAAATCCATTTGAGGTGACATTAATTTACGTATTTTAATTTATTTACGACTTCTTTAAAACAAAACCACAAAATGCAATAATTCTTGGAACTTCCAAATAATACAGCATACGTTTTACGTATGTATTACAAAGAAAGGAAAAAGACACCTTTACAAAGCAGATGTTAATGATGTAGCTACTGAATTCATTTATGTAGTAATATAATATTAAAATTCGAAGTAAACACGCATAATAGGTTCTTCAATACGTATTTAGGTACTGAAACAAAGTTTACATATTATATGTTTATAATCTGCGTTTTTTGTCAGTTTATATTTTTTATAATTTCCTTCATATTTTGTACTTTGGCCAGTCTCATTAACCTTAACCTTAATAAGTAAATGATAATGTTGGAATTAGATTTAATATGTTCAAAAGTTGGCATTATATTGTTTGCAAACATTATATTGTATATACGATCTTTCTAGACATTTTGTTCATGATATCATCATATTATTATTAATAATGTTCTGAAAATCCATGTAAAATGTATTTAATCAGCCATATTGCTCCCAGATATTTTTCTTACCAATTTAGAGAATACATAATAAAGTAAAATAATTATTTTATGCTTTACCCACAGTCTCTAAAATGTCACAATTTGTAATTTAAACACATTCATTTCTAAGAGGTTTCAATCTACGTTTTATTCTGTTAAATTGTAGTTAATTGCAGCTAATTAAAATCTTTGGTATCTTCAGAGAAATAGTTTTTATAGATATCCTCCAGATGCCTTTCAAGGGCAACGACACGTAATGGCTCACTACCTGTGTTTTTTATCCCGTCAGCCATTATTCAAGTTGAAGCCGAGCTTTGCTAAGTTAGGAACGGCTAAGGGCATTGCACCTTCCTGCTCTCCCTTGCCCTGCAGCCCTACTTTGCCTTTTTGAGTAGTAACTACTAAAATATATTTACCTCCTTTTTGCACGTACTCTTGCAAGGGTTTGTTGGAAAGAGACACAAAGCGAGTATTAACTGCGACCACTTTATTCATAGGCTCAGCTGTGTGGAGTGTATATGTATACAGTTGTGCATTTATGCTATGGACTTTGAACTCGATTAATGGTGAACATCACTATCAATTCAGATTAACTGTTGTAAAATCGATACAGAGTTGTATAATAATCTTGCTATCTAGAATAACTGGGGCATATTTTATTTTGTAGAAAATTCTCTACCAATTAAACGTTAGGCCATAACAAGCAAAACCTACCTAGGCTTCACGTTTGGAGATTCATTACCTCATTGTATATTATTTCTTCTGATTTTTTATGTTCAATGTCGACGCAAGAATTAACGGAAAAGCAAAACAGTTTTCACACACGGCCGTATTACGTTGGATTTCGCATTTCCTCATTCACAGAGGATTTACCAAAGTTATAAGGATACGAATTAATTTTATGGGCCCGGTAACCGGGCCAAACCAACGGTCAGGTCCTCGCTGCGTCATGTAACCAGTACGTTATCACCGGTATCGCCACCATTCGAAGTTTTTCGCGGAAAACGGCCATCGTCTATCCCCCCTTCCCGTCCCCCTACCCGCATGGTAGACGCGTCACAAGCGCGTCTATAAAAACCATGCCCGCCCCTCCACTTCAACTCAGACGCATGGAGTACTCCGTAGAGGTCGTTTGGCACGAGCGAGCGCTTTGCTAGGCACCTGCCGGCCTATCTTCACGATAATATTCTAGTCACCTACCGCGCAGCTGAAGCTCGCGTACGCGGTCCATCCGCGCGTTCCTACGAGCAGTGATATGTGCAATAGCTTCTACTGAATAATTGTGATAATTTATTTAAATTAGTTATAGTTAAACGCGTTAATAAAACCGCGATACGGCTGTGAGTGAAAACTGTGAAAAGTTAAAGAAATGTTGTGACTGCCCGACTGGAACTTATTACCTGTGATCCAATCCAGTGTGTTCAGTTATTCTTGCGTTGACGGACCGTTTTCTACAATGGTTGGAAGTAATGGTACTATGATGGCGATTCGCATCGTCCACAGCAAGCTGCGTAAGCGTGAGGAGCATTCAGCATCGGTGCATCCAGCTGAAGTGATTCAGGCCACCCCAGCACCTACATCTGAGCCTGTCACCTTTCGCCAGCAACCGCTGTGGCAGTTCCCGCCGCCGCTGCCTCCGCCTTACGTCTATCCTCATGATCAGGTCAGTACCTAGCAAATATTTTCCACTATAGCAGTAAATACATCTCATAACAAGAGTCTATTTAAAGAAACTAAACCAGCTACAGTCGTTATACTTGACCCCAATGCTATTTTAACTAGCAATATTCAGTTGCAGTCGCAATCTAAGTAAAAACAAACTCTTAAGTCACTCAGTAGCATTCAAACAATATGGAAAGTTGTTGGGAACGTTACATTATAACGTAAAAGAAATCGTGACTGGTTCGACCCACGTCCCCGCCACATCAGAAAGAGAGAGAGTTGCTATGTTCACAGCACGAACACGATATCTAAGTGCAAAATAAATTTAAATGTCGGGACACGCTTGCAGAATAGAAAGCTGCACAAGGCGAGCGTGTTGCAATACCACGACCTTCTTTCTTTGTGATTGCTTGAACAAAGGAGGCTAATGCAAATAACACAATATCAAATTTAATCTCGTGAAATCATTTGACCTCCATTTCATGCTCTGATAAGTAATTCCAGAGATATAACTTTAAAATAATTATGGTTCATGAATAGAGTAGATGCCACACCAGGAAGCACGAGAATGCTAATATGTCTTTGAATAACGTATTCAAGGCTTGTTTTGTATGGCCTTAACGTTTATTTTGCAATATTAGCTTCCTAGTCATGTAGGACTTCTACCATAGGTACTGTATCGAAACAGCATGTTTGTAATAATCCTAATATTGTCCGACAGATGTTCTCTTGTTTAAAGATTTTTTTGCGATACTAACAAAGAGTTTCCTGTAGATCTTGCCGTTGTATTGTTTATTGGTAACTATCTTAAAATAGCTTAAATTGTACGCCGCTATAAGTGGTTTCACTGCTTCGAATGCAGCAAATGCATCTGGGACGGTAACGGAACCGCTAAATCGGGCACCGATCCTTGTAGGTCGATAAACTTTGTGCACTTCCTGTACTTCTTAGTTAATGCATATTATATTTAACATTGCATTTTCTTATTTACAGGACAACTTAATGCAGCCCATCGGCAATGAACGAGCGAGTTTCCGCAGTCTCCGTAAGAATATCGGCGGACGATGGAAGAGACTCGTGAAAAAGAAGCCCGAACAAGAAGTGTACACAATCCCCCCTGAGCTCAAGCCACAGCTCAAGCAAATATATGTGTATTAATAAATGAAGCAACAATTAGTACTACAGCACTGAAGCAGGCTTCAACTGCTCTGTTCTATTAGATGATTTCACAGATCACGGTTGTAATATGTAACAATTCATATCGTTATTCGAATATCAAAATTTTCTTAAATAGAACATTATGTGCACGGCTCTTCTGCCTTTTATCTTTGAACATATCTTTTTGACCAATTAATTCTAATGACCAATGAACTATGTTTCACTCATCATTCAACACCATTGTGATCTAAAGCCTAGGTTTGTATTATTAAGTATTAGAACGCTGATGTTTGTGCGTGCTGTTCTGTTGCTGAATTCTGTATGTAAGAGTGAAGTGCTCGTGATAGTCAATTGAATTTAGCTTAATTATTAATTTAATGTTATGAATGAGAGAAACCTATTAGGAAGATGCGGTCGCGCATACTAGTAACGAAAATCCAATAATGATTAAAATTATGATGCCTTGTTAAATAGTATTTGACTAATGAGGGCGTTTTGTAGTCCATTAACTTATTCTAGACATGGTCGTATCGTTATGCGAAACATCGATCAAATAATTTGTGAAGATATTTTACATGTGAATGTTACTTTGTGTCTATAATGAGAATTGATATTTTAAACACCTGTAGTTTCATGCAGTATTTTTATATCGTTCATTTGTGTTGTGAGTGAGACTGATCTATGGTACAATTTTAAGAGTATACACGTAAAAAAAAAGAATATTTTCTGACAATATTGAATCAAAGTCGACACAAATTCATTTATAAATTAGTATTGAATGTCCTTAGTTGTTGATACTGTTGCGAGATATGTTACTTGCATGCTTATGGTAGTATAATTTTGGATTTTCGCCCGGTCCTTACTGTGATATACATATAGGTACGTGAGATACTAAATTAATGTAATTGCTAAACAATTAAACGACTTTTGAATTGCCTTAATAACTTGTCAATTATTATTATCGTAGAAGGGACCGTCGGTCGAGAATTTAGATAGCTCATATTGAGCCTGATATTTTGAGAATTAAGAATAGATAATAATGTACAATCCAGCCATGATTTAACAAAACGTTAAATTCTAACTGTTGAAGTAGACCACGATGTAACGGTACTTTTAGCAGCGTGAGAAACTGTTTAGAAGAAAATGTAATCTTTTGTTGAAATACTGAGAAATAAATAAATTCCATCATGAGTACCACATTTTATTTACCATAACTATATACCTACCTATTTTATAAACATAAGCCTATCAAATTTTAGGAGATAGTAAGCGTATAACTATTTACAGTTTTCATTTCATAATTAATTGTTTATTCGTATGTATACTAATAACCAATTAAAATCCCTTATTAAACCGATAATACAATTAATTCAATGAATGAAATGTATTAATTACTGATAGCTACTAAACTTTGGAATTAACTACGCAAATGGGTGTGTCTAGTTACCTACTAGCTTTATTTATAATTTTATATTTGATAACGACGAGATAGCCAGCAAATACATAACATTACTTTGACAAGCACGTACCCACCATACATACACTTTCTTTACCTAAAATAAATTTTTGGATAGAGTACCTACAGGAAAATTTTCGTTGCCACCTACATAATATAAGTGCATTTTTTTTTTATATTTGGATTTGTGAGATTATTCGGCGTATTTTAAAGAGAAAAATGAATAAATAAACAATGCCATCTATCGGCATAATAAGACTTAATCATAAATTAATAAGCACATTCCTGTGGCGCCATCTGTACGTTATTGCATAAACTATTTGTAATTTCATCTGCTTTCGTCTCTTGCTTTGTAAGCTAAACTAAATAAAATACAAATAGAATTCTTTTAGTGTACTTATTATAGTACAGATGTCGTTTTAAAATAATATTATGGAATAATATTTATGTGTAAAAATATGTGTCACATTGTCCGCGATGGACTCCTAAACTACTGAACCGATTGCGAATTTGATTTGTACATCCTAAAGGGTCTCCTTTTAATAATATATTTTAGTTATTATATTATATTTTTTAAGGTTTATAATTTTAGGTTCTTAGTTGTATTATTAAGTTATGTAAATAAATTATTTAATCTTTAAAAAAATGCACATTGTGTGCAACTTGATCCAACTTTAAAGTCATATATATAAGATAACTTACATCTCAATTTATAGTCGCAATATTGTTTTATTCAAGAACCTTAGCCAAGGCAATGCGTGGTCGGGTCTGCTAGTTATAAATAATTTGTAACGAAATATTTATAATATAAAGTCTGTAACTTTATATTATAAATATTTTATAACAGACTTTATAACTCGACTCGACGATGGAATTGCGTTTTTAACCAAAATCAATCTAGGAATATGTTGAAAGGACAATACAATGAAAATTAGTTGTGTGTATATAATATCAACCGTATGATGCTCATTAATTTGTTAATTATATCAGTTACTAATTTAAACTAAACATTCTTTTTTTACATACTACATATTATTGTAAGTTATGCCTATATATTACACTGATATTAACATCTATTCTTCGGTCGATTCCTTGTATGGTACAAACATTTGCCTTCATGAGTATTATTATTTGTAATAGTCTGGCTGTTTTCTATGTGTATTGTTTGTGTATTTACAATAAAATAAATCTGAGTAGTCAGACTGTCTATGTATCAGTTGTCAAGTTAAGGTACGTACCTATGACGCCAAGGTCTGCTTGGTACAAGATGGCTCTGTATACATTGTCCTAAAATATTATTGTTATTATTTGAAATTAAACCCTAAGGATACAAAAACCTATAAAACCTTACCTAAAACATGTAATTTGTAGATAGTTAAATTATATTTGAGATCTTATATTTAGGTAAACACCTAGTAACTAATCCTAACATATTCCTTTGTACGAAATATTATTATTAACATCTATAACCACAATCAGCGTCCTAACAAATTATTAATAATGACACAAAACCCCTACATGTAAGTACTTGAAAATTGACACGTACACTGCAAGTATGGAGTAATAAAGCGAGCTTAATGAGGGGTACCTCAAATACACAACGAGACTTATTAATTTACAAAGCCAACGCACGTGACCACCCGGGGCACTGTGTCTAACGTTTTTGACTGTTTCAAGTAGTACCTACTGTTCAAGAAAGAATAGATTAATAAAAAAGGTATTAAATATCTCTGCACTACCCAAAGGTTGGCTGCGAGAGAAAGCTGTAGCATTAAGTCCACCTTTTTTACAATTTAAAGCAAATAAATGTATTAAAAAATACTACAGTATCAAAAGTAGCACAAAATTTTACCTAGTTTATATATAATCCTGAATAAATATAGGATTAAATAAAAAATATATAGTATAATAAAGGGTTGTATAAGACACTAATATAATTATATCAAGTGGTATAATGTCCTTAAAACATGAAAGAAAAAATTGTTGCCTATTTTCAACCGAATAAAACAACGGAGTGGGTGCGCAATTTTGCTGTATTTTCATGTGTTGCTACAGAACTGTTTTCTATGTTAACCGACATTTAAAGCTTATGCTTTTCCTTTATGGTTAGATATCCGCTTGAAGTAATATAAAATCTCTTGTCCCAGCGTTTATAACAAAACTCATTCGAGGCGGATTAACCGATTCTGATGAAATTTTGTATGTATAATCTTATGTAGGTCTAAGAATACGATGTAAACTATTTTTCAACTAAGGTAAGGGTGGTTTTTATTTTTAAACCCAAAATAATGACAAATTTAATTTTATTATGATTCTGCATTAAAAATACGTACAACCTTAAAATTTCCACCATCAACCCCTATTTTTTAAATGCGACATTCGTACTTCAATAATTGTCTATTGTCGGCGGTTTATAACTGATTAATTTATATGATAAAACAATTTCGTCGGGTCAACTAGTAAATAATATATAAAAAATAATATTAAATATTTTCTTTTAAAAATAGCTTCCTGTCCAAATATACAAGCTTAGGTATGTAATGTAACGAGCGAAGAAACAAAGTTATTACGCAAATACATTTTTATATTCCTTGATTGTCGCCTTGCGTTACCCCAATTTAGCAGTTCTGTAAATGGATTAGAACAATTTGTTAAAAGAAATTAGGCCGCGTCGCTTTCCGCTGTGTTCTTACCAATTGCTTTTTGTTAAAGCTTCCGTTCGGGACTTATGTTTGTACTGTTGTGATCGCCTGCTTTCATATTTATTCATGACTGTGTATTTTCCTTCAGTAGGATAGCGATCAATTATACATTGTCTCTAATCGGAACGGTATAGTAGCTGTTAGGTTTTATGTATTTATTAGCTGTAGTTTGCGCGTGTATTTCGTAAGAATCTTTATAATTCCCTAAAAAGTTTCGTGGGTAGTTTTATACGTTAGTTATATATTTTAAAACAAGAGCAACCAAGTAGCTTAAAATCAAAATATATAAATTATTTATTACTATAGAACATTTTTACACTTTGTAATGTTAATAAATAATTAATTAACGTTAAATATATAAATTAACGTTTGGAACAGCGATTAAAAAATTACAAGTTGTATTTTTTTAATCGCTGTTCCAAACGTTCAGTTTGTTTTTTAAGATGTGTTTAATGTTATCCTTCAACCTTACCTTGAAGGATAAGATGAAGAAGCAATGAAATTATCGTACTAATACGTAGACAGAGACAGACAGACTAGAGACATCCTAGTTCTCAGGGATGGCAACGGATGGGTACCAAGGGGGTCACATTATATAGGATATCATCTGGTGCGTCTCTGAATATAACATTAAAATTTGGAATTATCCGCGAATATTGTGACGAGGCATATTATACATAGTCGATTATATGGTTTGTTAATAAGAGCTATAATTTTTGGCCTCTTTTGATGAACACGTCAATAGAAATAGCGGTCCCGTCATTAAGAAACATTAGATTACCAATATTGCGCGCCGAAACCCATAAGGGCATCGCCTTACACGGAGAATGGGGCAACTGCTTCCCAAGTTATTTTACGCTCCGTATAATGACAACGATTGAATACAAGTTTGGTGTTTCTCCCGAAACTCACTGTTACTTACAAGTGTCGTAAAACAGCCATTACACAGCTCGATGATCCAACCAAGATGCTTTTATGATTTGTTAGCTTTATTTACATTGTAGCCATGTCTTAGATACGGTGTAATTAGTGACATTGTGACTTGAATGTTACAGACAGTTCAACTTGTGTTTACTTTGAGACTCGATTTATTACAACATGAAATAGTCTCAATACAAATACGATAAAGCAAATACATGTTTCTTAGAATCTGTCTGCTCTCAAAGACTTTGTATTGTCTTAGTGAATACGCGAAATGTCTGAACACAATTTTCTGAAATTTTCAAATTTTCTTAATTGTAGTTCTGAGAGTAATTTCTGCATAGTATTAGAAAACAATAAAAGATCTAGGAAATCATTTAAGTAGTGATCCTACATAATTGCGTATCAGTTGTAGGACTGATTATATTATCGGGTACACAAGCTTAATTTATGTATATATGTACTATAGATGATTTTATTGTTATATTTGGGGGTAAACAAATAATCGCAGTGAAAAAAAAGTTGTTTGCAAGAGAGTAACTCTATCTTAGTCTTAGTTATTTTAGTCATTTTAGGCAGCTTAGTTATAAAGTTGTGTATCGGATTGAAGAATTACAGAAAATTAAAATATGTATCTACTATTATCCAGAAAGCTGATTTAAAGTTGGTCCAAATCTTTAAAATCATCTCATTATGATTTCTAACTTGTAAAATGAAAATAAGTACGTAAATATGGTAAATAATAGACAAATAAGACAATCGTTAATTATTTCTGCGCACAATTAATCAAAAAGAGTATGAAACATTAACTTTTTAATTAAATGGAAAGTTTCAAACAAGAGGGTATCATGATAAATGGTTGTTGGTGTCCTACTAACAACACCTTTGATAAGCAACCATCAAACGCTGAGTAGACCTATGCAAACTAAAACTATAATACAAAACGTTAATGTTATTCAGGTGTTAAAATTAAAAGCATAAATCCCCCTCCCTCTCCTCGGTACCCCTCTAGTTGTCCCGTGAAGAGGGATGTAATTACACCACCTATTCGAAATTCATGTGTGGACTGGGTCAGTGAGCCATTAGGCGGGTCCTCTTCGCCACATAATGAG